GTGGCGTCGTAGCTCAACCCGGTAGAGCGTTAGCTTCGCGTAAAGGCCTTCCCTACTGTGCAGGTTTGACTCCCACCGACGTCGCGAGTTTTTTCACGATTGGGTCAACTAAAATAACAGTAAATATCTGCCTATACTACTAGCTGCTATCAGGGTCCGAGAAATGGAACCCAGGGCAAAGGCGGAGTGGGGCAAGTGAGTTCCGTCAGCGGTTTCTTTGGTAAACGTTTATCAACGACTGACAATATGGATATTGCTAGAATTAACCCTTTCGACTAACACGAACCGCGTTAACGCTAAACCGCCGGTGCAAACAGTGTTTCATGTAGTGGAGGGGTGAACATATTTGTTTCTAAGTACATGTGTTGAGGAAAATTTGTTACGCTATGGGTGATTAGGTGAATTTTCGACAAAGCAAGTACTCTGCTTCTTATACTATCGCGGAACGGGAATTATTCATCATCATGTTGGATTTTCGGACCAAACATATGTAGGATAAGCTTTTCGACTTCAAGTCAACAACCCCCTCAAATTTCACTTTTGACATTTCATGATTTGGACGACATAGTGTATATTAAAACAGACTTGCGCAGCGGTAACCTTACTCCCTTTCCCCCGTAGCCAACAGACGCTGTCCAAGGGATTTTGAATAGCTTTTTCATTTAGTACGATGTTTGACACAAAAAGCGTAAATAATCTTTTTGACCGATGGCATTGAAGAAAAGTGTAATCTTGTAGAAAACTTCTTTCGACAAATGCGTATCCAAATTGGTTTATTATTAAGAACGTGGATGAAAAACCACCAAACCATCTTTCTCGGCGACCAGTTTCCCTGAGGTTGCTGAGATTGCTGATCCCAATTAAGTTTCCCCCCGCCGAACACTGACGCCCGCGCGATTTTTTTATACCAACCTGCATCTTTGATTTAGTTAATTCCGATATAAATGTACAGGCCTAAATATTATTTATTAGCAGCAAACGTATGCTGGCCAGCTTATCTTCTTAAAGGTGAAATTATTACGGCATTTAAGGACTTGGTGCAGGCTGACAACTCACCATCGCACCAAATATGAGTCCCGCGAGAGCCGCTAATTATAGTGCACATTAAATGTCATGGAAGTGACCCTCAGAGTCCGTCTACACTGCCCCCGGTGAATGGGTTCTAGTAAAGTTTCGAAACTCCACACTTTTTGTGCCAACAATCGCATCTTTTGAGCCGCTTCCTGGAGATCAACCGTTTGCTTTTTTTGTCCTTATTCCCGCAAGTTCTTGATTAGTCGAAAAAGATTCAGGGAAAGGCCCGCAAAGATCCTCCGTAATGTCGATTAAATTTATGCTTCTGCGATTGTGATCTTACTCCTGCTCTTTTGTTCTCTATGATCTCCATATAAGTACTTGGTCGTGGGACTAAGATAAGGGTCGTTTGTTCATGCCGTCTCTTCCTCCACTCGGATTGCTTCTTCAAATTGTCAGGGATAGGACCCTGATCAAGATAGCATCGCTTTCCAGCTGTATATGCAACGTGCTATTTTATTTCCAGGGTTCCACTTCCAGAGGCGTGGGCTGGCAAACGCGAGGAAGAACTGGACCAGGCCGTCGGTATCAGTGGTTGCGTTTTTGTACACTCCAACTGTTTCCTGGGCATACACAAGACTCTGGATGGAGCCCTCGAAATGGCCAAACTCGCCCTTAAAGCCGCTGGCTATTTGTAAATCCCGCCTTTCTGCGTGTATTTGCTTCCACTGTAATGCATGTATAATCAACTGTCTTAATCAGTTTTATCCCACCATGTGTATGAATTTTATGAAAATATACTTTTGTACTTTTTCGGCTTCGACTGAGTCGTTTTGCGTTTTTTTAAGTTCCGGGCTGACCGTATATTTTGATTTGGTTTTACTAGTGAAACATTTTAGGGCCATCTTAACGCCTCGTCCAGCAGTTATTTCTGTAGGCTAGACAACCTGTCAAACGCTTGTTTCAAATATGTGCGCGAAAAGCGACCCGCGTGAACCTAAGCATTCCAAGTAATCTACCGGAGCGCGCTTGTCCGACATCCATTTAAACTCCCTGTTAGTGTATAGTATCCGATCTCCCCGCGCAAATTAATTCCTTTATCAGACTGTGTCGTGGTTGCTGGTTAGCGTGGCTTTAGTATGCTGCCCGCTACTTACTTGTTACGACTGTAATCATGCCTGATCTG